GTGTTTAATTTTGATATTACACTGTTCTTCATTTTTATACCGCTGATTTTTTTTTTTTTTTGTAATGGGAATAGAACTAATGCCCTTGCACTTGCCAGGCAGGTGCTGTGCCACTGAGCTATATCCCCAGCTATAATGTTATTGTTTATAGAAACACAAACAAATATACAGTCCCTGCCCTCAGAGATTGGAAGGAAATTAAGGATGAATACAAGAAAGAAAATGGTTAGGAAGCTACTGTAGTGGTCTACCTAGTGACACTAACTTGGATTAAAGAAGTAAAGAGTATTAGTGTCTTCTTGCCAATGTAAAAAACTGTCATAAATTTTGTAACTCTAACCAACAAAAATTTATTGCCTTATGGTTCTGAAAAGCAGAAGTCTGACCTGAGTCCCAGTGGCAAGTATTAGGGTTGGCAGGGATGGATTGTCATCTGGAGGTCTAGAGAACTCTTTCTTTTATCTTGGCTTTTCCAGTTTCTTGCGGCTGCCTGCAATTCTTGGTTTGTGCCTACTTTTCTTTGTTTTATTTTGTGACTTTACAGTTTAGGGTTTACTGAGCTTCTGGAATCTATAAATTGATATCTTTCAAAAGTTTAGAAAATTTGTGGTCATATATTTGAAATATTGTTTCTGTCCTGCTCTGTCTTCCTTCTATATGTTAAAACTAGTTGTGTTCCACATGTGTCATGTATTGTGTAAGTTTTTCCATTTGTCTCTTCCTGTATTTCGTTTTATTTTGCTTTTTGATTGGTCTGTACTAGTGTTATGTTTCACTGTGTTCAATTTGCACTCGGTCTTAAGACTTGAATTCCTAACTTATGAGTAGTATTTTTCAGATTGAAAATGTACGTCTGATCTTTTGTTTGGAGATCAAACTCTTAGGCCCAAGTAATCTTCCTGCCTCAGCCACCTCAGTAGTTAGCAGTATGAGCAGGTGACACTACTCTAGTTCTCAATTATTTTTTACAGATTCCAATTCACTAAAATCCATCATCTTTTTTTTTTTAATTTTTTAAAACAGTACTAGGGATTGAATTCAGGGCCATTGCACTAAGCCACATCCCCAGCCCAATTTCTAATTTTTTTTAAATTTTGCGTTATTTTGTCTTTCTGAATCAGGACTATTCTGTTTAACACGATAGTTTCCAAATCTATCCATTTTTTTTGCTAATGACAGAATTTCATTTTTCTTTGGGGTTAAAAAATACAGTATTGTGTATATCTTAGTTACTTTTCTAGTTGCTGAGACAAAATGCCTGACCCCTAAAGCTAAAGGAAGAAAGGTTTATTTAGCTCACAATTTGTAGAGGCTTCAGTTCACAGTTGGCTGGTTCCAAGGCTCGGTGGCTTGGCAGAGGGACATTGCAGAGGAGAAACAGTTCACAGATGGCAGAAGGCAGCAAGGCAGCAGTAGTGATCACAGCAGCCCACTTCCTGGCCCTTGTATTTTATCTAACATTCACAACCAATGAGGGCCTCCCCATTATCTACTCCCAGAACTATGCCAAACCATCAGATTGACTTAGTAATCACACATCCTTGACCCTCGAATCACACACTATATATCCAGCCACCTTTGAAAAGTCCCACCTATGATTGCATGAGGCTTTGGAGAAAATTGAGACACAAGCAGTGCACATCCCACATTTGTGTTACCCATTCATGTGCTGATGGGCATCTAGGCTAATTACATGTCCTGGATATTGTGAATTATGCTGCAATAGACATGGGTATGCAGGTATCCCTAAGGTATGTTGACTTTAGTGTTATAGCTAGGTCAAATGGTAGTTCTATATTTAGGGATTTTTTTTTTCTATTTTTAATTTTTTTTGAAATCTCCATACTGATTTCCATATTGGCTGTACTAATTTATATTCCCACCCTCCTCTCCTTGCCAACAATTTTTTTTTTAATTTTTATTTTGAAAGTATACAATAGAACAAGTCAGAATAAAGCCAACTAGGATCGTACAGTGAAATTGGTACAGAACTTCACAGCAGGTTACCAAGATAACAGTAATAGGTATCACAGTATATTTTGTTATCTTTATAATAGTTGTTCTTTCAATCCCGTATATCAAAATGAGATGAAATACAGAACACTATAGAACTTATCAAAACAGAACATTGAATAGAGCAGTACCATTAATCAGAAAAGAGCAAAACAATAATAAAAATATTTGCCTTCAAAGAAATGGTAGAAGGAAGTCCCCCTTATTTGCTATGGTCAACCTCCCAGGAGATGCTCAGATTTCTGGTTCCCATTTGCTAATGGGGGGGGGGGATAAGGGAAGTGGGATATTTGACTCTAGGCTATGTAGCAGTAGGTTCACTATTGCTAAGCAGGGAGGCAGAATGGTCATTTGTTTTCACAGCATCTTCAGTTCCAACATGGCGTGGATCTCAGGAGACACTGCTGGTTCTCCCCCTGGAAGGGCTGCAGTGGGCCACACTGCCGCCGCTTACCAGGGAGGGGAGGTGCTGGCTTGGCTTCGCAGAGTCCTAAGTTCCAACATGAAAGAGATTTTTTTTTTTGTCTTTTTTTTTATTGGTACCGGGGATCGAACTCATGACTGCCTGCTTGCAAGGCAGGTGCTTATGCCACTGAGCTAAATCCCCAGCCCCTTTGCCAACAATTTTTTAAAAAATTCCTGTGGAGAGTCATTTTGACTGAAGATGTTTATTTTTCAGTTTTTTGGGATAGTCTTACCGTGTAGTTGAGACTGGCCTTGAATTTACTATGTAGCCCAGGCTGCCTTTCAACTTCCAACAGTCTTCCTGCCTCAACCTCCCAGGTGCTAGAATTATAGGTGTGTGCCACCATGCTTAGTGCTTCAATAGGCTTTGATTTGCATTTTTTCAGTCCTTTTTTGTTGTTGTTTATTTTTTATCTGGAGACAAGGTCCCACTAAGTTACCCAGGCTAAGCTCCGAACCTGTGATCTTCCTGACTCAGGCTTCCACAGTGATGAGATTACAGTTGTGTGTCATCACACCCAGAACAACTGTCAGTGTGATACAACTTCAATAATGATTCTTGTTGATTTTCACATTTTTCTGTTAGTAAAGCATACTAATCTATCTTGGGGAAACTACCTATTATCCAAAATTTCATCAGCAGTTCCCTTGCCACTTTTGGAACTTTTGGAACTACATCTCCAGCCCTGCAGTTTTTTTGTGTAATACAGATGTATTAATGAGAAAAAATGAAATTATTTTTAAAGAAATGGATATTCTTTGCTTAATTAGGGTCAAAAGTCAGTGTTTTTTTTTATTGTCAAATCAACTACAAATGCTCACCTGTAAAAATCATTCTAAGGTGTAGGTCATACAAAAAACAAGCAGAGGGTGGGTTTATCTTCCAGGCTGTAGTTTGCTGAATTGTTTTACAATATAATCAGATCATATCACTCTTCTTTCAAAAACCTATTATTTAGTTTTCTATTGTTGGTCCATAAATTACTACAAATTTAACAGTTTAAAGCAATACCTAGGGCCAGGGGTTTAGCTTAGCAGCATAAGCGCCTGCCTGTCAAGCCCTAAGTTGTGAGTTCGACCTCCAGTAGCAAAAAACAAAACAAACAAACAACAACCACAAAAAAAAAAAAAAAAAACACATCGATTTATAATTCTCACAATTCTACGACTCACAAGTCCAAGTGGATTTGACTTAGGGTCTCACAAAGCCAAAGTCAAAGTGACTGCTTATGCAGGATCTGGGAAAGAATCTGCTTTGATTACAGGTCTGAGGTCCCTATTTCTTTGCTGCCATGATCTGTGCCAATTGCTTTCCTCCAGCTTCCATGCATACCCCATTACCTCTCTGACATTATCTCCTACTACTCTTCCTCTGGCTTACTGTTTATTCACACTAGCTTTCTTGCTGTTGCTTGAATCTGCCAGACACACTCCCACCTAGGATCTCTGCATGGAATATTTTTCTCTCATATATCTACTTTAACTACAGTAAGTCCAAGCCTTTGTTCCACATTCACTTTTTCAGTAAGACATAAGTGACTATACTATACTAATACCACAGCCTGTATTCTTACTCCCAGCACTAATTTTTCTAACCTGTTTTTTTTTCTACTGTACTTCTTACCTCTAACATATTATATACTTATTTGTTTTTATTGTCTATCTTTCCTTGCTAGAGTTAATTAAGCTCCTTAAAGGTAAGCATCTTTCCCTATTTTTTGTTCATGGATGTACTTTAAGCATCTAGCACAGTGGTTGACACAAAATAAGTGATCAAAAATTCACTGAATGGCTGGGCATGGTAGTGCATGTCTGTAATCCAACACTCAGAGGCTGAGGCAGAAGGATCACCACGAGTTTGAGATCAGCCTGGACTACATAGCAATACCAAAAACAAAAACAAAGGAAAGAAAAAAATTTCTGGGATTATACTAGATGACTTCTATAATCCTTCCTGAATTTGAACACTTACTTTTTTTTTTTTGTCTTTTTCCTTTTTATCGGTACCGGGGATTGAATTCACGACTTCCTGCTTGCAAGGCAGGCACTTATGCCGCTGAGCTAAATCCCCAGCCCCTTGAACACTTATTTTTTTTCCGCCTTGGTACTAGGGATTGAATCCAGGACCTCCGTACTAAGGCACACTGTAGGTCTTTTATGGGACAGTCTTGATATCGCCCCTGTTTTATAATTGAAGTTTTTATTTTTTTTGTCTTTTTTGAGACAGGGTCTCGCTATGCAGTTCAGGCTGGCCTTGAGCTCACTTTGTAGCCCACGCTGGTCTCGAATTTGCAATGATCCTCCCACCTCAGCCTCCCCAGTGCTGGGATTACAGGCGTGAGCCCCCACGACCGGCTATAATTGAAGTTTTTAAAAGTTAAAAAATCCTGTAAAAACAGCAAGAACTGATAAATGCCCCTGAATATAACCATGCCATCAAAAAGACATATTACATCAGCACAAATGACAAGAAAATGTTTTCCAAATCAAAATTTCTCTCGTTAAACCTTCCATTCACTTACCGAAGAAACAAAGAAGAATGAAGAAAGATTTCACTCAAAGTCTCTGCAGTAGAAATTGTGACCTGAGCTGACTTTGGGAGTAAAGACCATTTCTGAAGTAGGTATGATCTCCATTCATCTACAGGCAGATCCATGCTCCTTTCAACCTATGAAGTGAATAAGAAAACAGGAATTCAAATTTCTACAGAAGTATAATTCCAGAGAAAGAAATTCATCCAATCAATCATAAATAACAAAATCAGTTCCTGATGTGTTTTTCTACAGTTGTTCAAAGGTTGAAGGATGTTAGTTTAATTCATTCAACATCCTTTCATTTAGAAATACTTACTAAAAGCCTACTTTGTTCTCCAGACTATTTATGTGGTGATTATATGAAGATGAATTAGATTACTATACATAACTCCCTTAGGTCCTTCATGACCTCAATCTATTCTAGATGGTCAAGTCCTTCTGGATTTTTCCCCAGAAATTAAATTAAATATTTCTGTCTTACATAGTTCAATTTTCTGCTTCAGTACCTAACTCGTCCAGTTCAAGTCCTTATCATCTTGTCAGCGATTCTTTCCAGTGTTGTTATAACTACCCTCCCCTTCCAACCCACCTCCACACTGAGATAGACCTGTCTTCTGCCTTAAATTCATCAACGTTCCTTGCATACAAGAGAACCCAGCACAAGCTCAACTTTATTTGCTCACTTTTCTATCCTTCCTCTGCATCCCACGATAGGAAGGTATACTCATTGCTAACCCCAGCTTGTGAAATTTCATCTTTTCAGTGTTTTTGCACAGACCATTTGTCCCTCACTTGGAGTCCACCTACTAAATTCCCGCACATCTTTGACTCCGTGATTTTCCATCTGTGAGTCCACCACACGTGGGGCCCCCACGCATCTACCTTGATTTTGGGCTCCTCACGTGGAGACTCTCCGAAAGGCTGTGCTCTCCTCCGAGGGAGTAGCCCTTATTTACCGACAAGGGAAGGTGCTGGGTCAAACTCCCGGTCTCACATAGGCGGGAGGCTTGCACCGGGCTGCTGAGAGAACCAGGCCATTGCTTTGACTATATTTAGCAGCAGTGTTGTCAGGAAACACCTCTGTCCTCTGAGCTACCATTTTGTCCGGGTATGTACGCAGCAGGGAACGTTCCCGGAACTGGCCACCCGCACTCCCCGCAGCAGCTGCTCCCTACCCGGCGCGCAATTCCGCTCCGCGCCCCGCCCCAGAACCAGCCATCTCGCCACCAGGCCTCTAACCCTGACTCGAGCGAGTCACGTGAGCCGCTTGCCGCACCCTGGCCAATAGGGTGGCTCCTCGGCCCCTAGGCCCGCCTCCTCGCGGTGCGCACGTCGGGGGCGTCAGAGGAGCACACAACTCCTCCAGCCAATCACGGTACAGCCCGCTCCCCCATCTGCGCCTGTTAGTGAAGCTGGGTTTGTAGTGGAGCGAGAGCGCGGGAGTTAAGCGTTTCGGAGCCATGGCTGGCCAGCTGAGCGAAGGGGCCATTGCGGTAAGAAAACCGCAGTGGATCTGGGAGCGGCCTGGGTGGCGGTGCCCCGGGGTAGTGCAGAGTGGAGAATGGTGGGGGAGGGAGATCGCGGGGTTGTAGGGGAACAGCCAGGTTGTGGGGGTCACTCTCCCATCATCAACCCCTTTTGAGAGATACTTCTCGTCTTTTACACATACTCACATTTCTTCTACTTAAGAAAACAAAACGAAACAAACGTCCCTCCCTCTCCTGTGGCCATCTTTTTCCCTTTCCCCCGTCCACAAACTTTTCTAGTTGTCGGTTTTCAGTTATTTTCTTACCTGCATTTAGCTCTTTAGTTCTCGGCAATCAGAGTCTCCTGATCACCGTAGAAAAAAATATTGGTTGAAATTAACCAGTGGCCTTCAAGTCACTTGACAGACACTTCAGTTAGTAGCTTACCTGGATTCTCCGCAGTGTTTGACCCTGTTGATGATTGCTTTTGTTAACACTGATTTTAAGTTCTGTGGCTCAGCTTGGCGGGCCTTTCCTCTTTCTTATTTTCATACTCCTCTGTAAATTTTGTACTCTCAAAGGTTCTCCAGGCTCTGTCCCTGCAAAGCAGTTTTTGTTACCTTGTAGATGTCAGTTCACTGACTTCGTGCTGATTCGCTGCTTCTATCTACAAGATATCTTAAATGAATCCCAAAGCAAATCCGTTATTTTAAGTCTAGACTACTTGATGTCCTTAACGAATGGCCCCAGTATCTGTTTGTTACCATAGCCAGAAATTAAGGACTCATTCTTTCCACATTCTGGATGTCTGCTTCCTGACCAAGTGAAGTATAAATATCTCCGTATTGATGTTTTAAGTTCGTTTCCTTCTCTCCACGTGGGCGCCAATTCTTTTTTTTTCTAATTGTTTATTGGTACATTTTAGGTATATAGAATGGTCATATTCATCATAGGGAATTTATATCTGTACATGATATGTGTTGATTCTTTTCTTCTCCATTCCCTACCTTCCCTTTAACCTCTCGTCCCTCGTTGTTCACAAAAGCTTTGTTTCCATTTTTTCCTTCTTTTCTCATTGTTTTCCTGTTCTACCTTTCCTCCTTCCCACTCCCTAGTTCCTCTTCCCATTTGAATATTTTCTTTAACATATCTGTTAAACAGTTTGGTCCTTACTTTCACTTTCGATTTCTCATGGCAGAGAAACAATGCAGTGTTTATACATGTGTCCTATTTATTTCAGTAAGAGTATGTTCTCTAAGTGCATCCATTTACTTAAAAATGTCTCAAGTTTACCCTTCATTATGGCTGAGTGATACTCCATTGTATAAAAAACTCACATCTTTATCCATTCGTCAGTTGTGGGCATTTGGGTGGTTTCCAAGATGTAGCTATTACAAACTGCCACTGTTTCTTGCCTCACTCAATGTGCTCTCCTCCAGCCATTCCCATCACATCATATTTCCACTTGATCTCACCTTCTTCTGGCTTTTAAAAAAATTTAAATTTATAGTACAGATTCTTGCCTTCCAAAGGCCTTTTAATCTCTTGTTTTCTTCTGCCTGCTGCCTGGATTGTTCTTCATTCCTCCCTCCCTCCCTCCCTCCCTCACTGTGGCAGTGGTGGCGAGTTTTAGGTGCCTGATAAATTGCTGCTTGTATGAGTGAATAAGGCATTGGAAAGAGGAGGACAGATGAGTAGAAAAGAAAGACAACTTGAGAGAAAACCAGAAGAACAATTACCAGAGTCAAGTAAATATTTGAAGAAACTGGGAATGTATAAATGCTGAAACCTAAAAAGAGATGGCATTTTGTGGTGCTTGTTGACTTTATAGCTGTTGCCTTGTACCTTTAAGACAAATTAGGAGTGGTAACTTATTCTTTTTACAGTACTGAAAATTGAACCTAGAGTGGGCCTTCACACTTCACCTTTTTTTTTTTTTTTTTTGAGACACTCTCCCTAAGTTGGTAAATTGCCCAAATTTATGATCCTACTGCCTTAATCTTCCAGAATACTGGAATTACAAACATGCCCCACCATACCCAGCTGGTTTTCCACTTTTTTTAATGTCTACTTTTAATTTTATCAGTTATCATTACTAAAACAGAAATGACAAAAAACACTGTTCACTTTGTTTTTGCTTATAATTTTAAAATTTTTATTAGTACATATTTACAGTACATACTACATTCATGATGGGGAGATAGTACATGTACACAACATGGTCTGTATTTAAATTCCAAAACCATATTATAGTAAATGACATATTGGAAGATGTGATGAAAAAGTACCGTGAATGGTGCTGCCTAGTGCCATCTAACAGACTTGGCAGGCGAGTGAGAGCATCGCAGTGTGTCTTCAGTCACCGGAGTCACGGAGTCACAGAGTCTGGCACTGAGACTGCTGGCTCCTCCCCAAGTCAGAATGACCATGAAAGGTAAATGCTTTGAGTTGATTCAGGACAGATTCAGGACACTGAGGCAGCTAAGTCAGTGCAGCTAAAGACATTCATGAAAGGGAACTTCGCGAAGTGCTACAGCGGGTGGGAAGAGCAATGAGATAAATATGTTGGAAGTGAGGGGGATTAATTTTACTGTAAATATAAATATGTCTGAAGTGAGGGGAATTCATTTTTTAGTGTAATTTTTAAAATGTAAACACTTGCTGTATTTTGTAAATTATATTTTGGTTCCCCCCGTTCAGCATTGTCTTTAAAGTAATTGAGTTATAGAAAAGGGTAAGAAACTAAGATTTTTCAAATTTTATGTTTTATTTTACTTTTTGTGGTACTAGGGATTGAATTTAAGGCCTTGCACTCTCCCCAACCCTTTTTTGAGATCAGATCTAGCTACTAAATTGTTCAGCCTGGTCTTCAATTTGAGATCACCCTGTTACAGTTCCTAGAGCGCTGCTGGGATTACAGGCATGCACCACCATACCTGGCTAAACCTGTAGCTTTGCAGTAAGCCACAGGCCTGCCTTTTTAAATTTTTATTCTGAGACAGGTTTAAGTAAGTTGTCCAGGTGGGCTCAAACTTGTGATCCTCAAGCCTTGCCTTCCCAGAGTTCTGGGTTTACAGGTGTGTACCTCTATACTTTGGGCTTTTTTAAAATTTTGTTTTTATTTTTTGGTACCAGGAATTGAACTCACAATCTGGTGCTTCCCAAGCAGGCACTTATGCTGCTGAACTAAATCCCTGGCTTCTAATTTTATTTTTATTATTTATTTATTTTTTGTCTTTTTCGTTTTTATCAGTACCGGGGATCGAACTCATGACTGCCTGCTTGCAAGGCAGGCGCTTATGCCGCTGAGCTAAATCCCCAGCCCCCCTAATTTTATTTTTTGAGACAGGGTCTTCCTATATAATTCGGGGCTGGCCTTGAACTCAGTATGTAGGTTAGGCTGGCCTCAAACTCTCTGTGATCCTACGTCAGCTTCCCAAATGCTGCATTTATAGGCATGGGCCACCATGCTTGGCTCATAATAACATTTTAAATTAAAAAGTATAAAGTATATGCATGTGGTTTAAAAAACAAATAGAGCAGAAAGATGTTTAATGAAATTCCACCTTGCCCAGTTCTGTTCCACAGAAATAAATATTTTTTAAAAAAACATCTTCATCAAAGTTTTGTTTGTAGATGTTAAATGTACTCTATAAGTGTACAGGGAGATGAGTTTTGTAGTCATACTACCCCTATTAAGATACAGAACATCTTCATCAGCCCACATGATTTTCTCTTCATTCTTCCCTGTGCCCCACTCTTAATCCAAGGCAACCACTGTTATGGTTGTTCTGTCAGTATAGATCAGTGTTAAAACTTCATAGAAAAAGAATGAATATGGTCTTTTTTTTGGAGAAGGACTTGCTTTGTAGACCAGGCTGTCCTCAAACAGTAGGCTGGGCGCCACCAATTTTCCTGCATCAGCCTCACAAGTAGCTGGGACTACATGTGCACACCACCACCATGCTCAACTCTGATTTTTTTTCTTTTACCAGTACCGGGAATCAAACTCACGACCACACGCTTGCAAGGCAGGTGCTTATGCCGCTGAGCTAAATCCCCAGCCCCTCAGCTCTGATTTCTTTCAGGAAGACTTTTTTTTTTTTCTTTTTGAGATCTATCTATGTCATTACAGAAGTTATCACCTTTTTATTTCTGAGTAGTATTTCATTGTGTGTTATAATACAGTATGTTTATTCTTGTGAACCATTTGGACTGTTTTCAGTTTTGGCTACTGTAAATAAAGAGCTATAAACATTTCTATGTAGATCTTTACCATTAGAAATATTTGAGTATATTATATATAAACTTAATAAATAATATATCAATCAGTTACGTGTATGAAGTAACGTGGGTAATTATAAATTAGTATCTAGTGTATAAGTGCATATCCAGTGGTACAGTTGTTGGGTCATATGATAACTGAATGCTTTTTGTGTGTGTGCTGGGGATCAAACCCAAGGCCTGCACCACTGAACTATAATCCCTAGTCCATGGCTACATCTTTTGCTATATGTAAGTATTGCTTATATTTTCTCTCAGTCTGTGTCTTGCCTTTTTATTCTTTTAATATTTCTTAAAAACCAGGTGTGGTATACACTTGGGAGGCTGAGGCAGAAGATTGTTGTGAGTTAGAGGCTGGGCTACAAACTGAGCTCAAGGTCAGCCTGAACTGCATAGCAAGATCTGTCTCAGAAAGACAAAGTATATGTGTGTGTGTATATATGTATGTATATGTGCATATATATATATATATATATATATGTATATGTGTATATATATGGGGAGAAGGAGGGAGGGAGGGGGAGAGAGAGAGAGAGAGAGAGAGAACTTTAAAATTTCATCAAGAAGGGGTTGGGGATTTAACTCAGTGGCGTAAGTGCCTGCCTGGCAAGCGCAGGGTTGTGAGTTCGATCCCTGGTACCAAATAAATAAATAAATTTTGATGAGGTCTAGTTTATCAATTTTTTTTTCCTTTTTCTAAGTATGTTTTTGTATCCTAAGAGGTCTTTTTCTACTTTAAGATC